CATGTGGTATTAGACATTTGAAAAACCTAAATCAAAGTCTTCATTGGGATTCAGTTGTTCAGAGGGAATTTCAAAAACAGAATTTGGGTTAAATTTGTTACTATTTCTTATCCTGTTAAGAAATGTTTACTTTTACTTCCAAATATACCCTAAATCTGTACCTGTGCTTCTGAGTTTATCCTAAATGCAGTCACTCAATACATTTTTAGGGTACCCATTTAAATGGAGTCCTTTCATCACTCAACCAGCACAGACATTAGAGGAGACTGCTCTAAAGGCATCTGTCTTAAGGAAGACTCCTGTAGCCTTTAGCGTGTTTGGAATTGGGCTGTAAATCTCAAAACGTGTTTGAAGTTGGGAACTGTTCCTTGTGCTGTTTGGCATGAGGGAGAGGTTGGTGAAGCTGATGCGTTACATTCCAGGGAACATCTGGATTTGCTTGAGTGGTTCATCTTGAAAAACAATACATATCCTGGTCCCAGAGTAACACATGAGCACGGAGTGTTCACAGGCCAGTTTGTCACTCTAGAGCAAGAGAAAGGTCTCTCTGGTTTTAAGAATGAACTATCAGTTCTGCAGTAATTTTTTTTTTAAGTTACTGCCTGTGGATTAGTTGTTTCTGTAGTCCTATAATGCATCTAGTTCTGTGTAAGAATTGAATGCAGTCAGGGAAGTTGTTTAAAACAGCAGACAGATAACCACCACAAAAACCTTGTACCTTCCTATCATCTGTTCTAGCATAAGCAATATTTTTTGAGAGGTAAAAGCTTCTAAACAAGTAAACAAAACAATGTTCTTTCACTGGGCTGTTGCAGTACATTTAAAATGATGATGACTTGAAGACCTGATTGCACCTGATAGTTTCTAAGTCAACATTTTATAGTTCCTATCAATGTCCATTTAGAGAAAGATCCTTAGCTCCTGTAACACAAGACGCTGTAATTCTGCCCAAAAGTGTATTTGTAGAGTAGGAAAGATATGGTCTGATGCATGTCCATCACAGCTTGCAAAGAGTAGCAGGAAAAGAAGTGTGAACAGGGCAATTGGATGAGCAAAACAAAATATTTATATTATACAATGAAAATTCTCACACAACTCCCCCTCTAACCACATGTGAAGTCCAGCCACTCCTCACAGCACTCTCTGTAACGTTTGTCAGCTTTTCACATCCTTATCTCTCAAGTCCTGGTAAGTCAGCTTAACCTTAGGCCAGGGCCTAATCAGTGATTTAGTCATCTGCTTGCAGCTCTAACAGTCCCTCTTGCTCTGGTAGCATCCATCTGTTCCTTCTCTTTTTTCTCTGAAGGCTTCAGTGTTGCCTTAATTTAACTGTGCATTTTAATGCTAAAAGTAAAGGACAGACATACATAGCTGTGCCCTCAGCATGCAAGATGAGGTTCCTGGTGACCAGTGCATTCATCCAAAAACTCATGGCTAACTGCAGGCTGTGTGCCAGGAGGCTGCCCAATTCCAAGCAGTTTTTAAACCCTTTGGAGCAGCAAGGTGTGATGGACACAGGCAGGGAACTGACCTTTTCCATATGGAGGTGGGGGAGGCACTTCTATTGCCTTGGTTTGAAATGAAGCTGGGAAATGTGTTTGTGAGCATGGCACATGCCTGCGCTCCTGATGGGCAATGTGCCAGTGCATTCACCACCACCTGGGAATCCAAACACAAACAGGAAGTGCTTGGTGCAGCAAGTGAAGCTGCCAAACCCACCACTGCTGCCTTGGTGGTTGGGTATAAACTGAAAAGGGACAAGCAATGTTACCAGCAGAAGAAATAACCACTCTCATTGCTATAGTTTTGTTCTGCTGTGGACAGAAAGGCCAGGTTGAAAATAAGAGACAACAGCAGAGCTAATTCTTTTCCACAGAAGAATGTGATGGACAGGAAACTAGTAAAGGACAAATGTAACATTATAACATCTCTATTTCAGCTAGGAAATGTTTCTACCTCTTCGCACCAAAAATCCCAAAACCAACATGGACAAAGTGTTTTGATGTTCATTGACAGTTTTCAGGTTCTTTTTTTTCCTCTGTGAAAACATTTATAACAATACTCTTTGCTAGAATTCTATGTATTGAAAAAAGTCTTTTTTCCCCAATCTCACATGCTTGAAACTCAGACTCAAACTCTTAATAAAAGTGGAGTTAAATTGTGATACAGGAACACATAGAATTAGTCCCATCACATTATCTTGTGATTACCTCATATACCATCAGTATTGCATGACGTTTAAGCTGAGATTTCCTGTTCCTGAGCCAAACTTGGAGATAAACCCCGGGGTTCTCCTGCAGCTGCCAAGAGCAGATCCATCATTTCACCAGGGCTGCAGAGGGATGTTCTCCTGTGGGATGAGCCCTTGAGCTGGGCTATGGCCAGCTGGGCCAATGCCAGCAGGGGGGAGGAATCGCACATTGATAAACTCATTGCAGCTGTGCATCATCTTTCAAACCTTCAGCAAATCCCAGTGGGATGTTTCCTGGGAAAGGACTGCAGTGCTGAACACGTTCTGCTGCTAAACTATGTGTGTCTTAGTGCAGAGAAAACAGACAGGCTCTGATAGGTTTGGCTTACATTACACAGCCAAGTGTGGAACAGAATCTATCCCAGAGTTACCCGTGCCACTAGGGAAATAGCAATCCCTTGTATTTAAATAGCTTCTTTCATCCAGACAGACTTTTCTTCCAGGCAGACCTCTTGTCCTCCCAGATTCAGAGCAACTTTTAATTGCATGGTTCACATATATCTCTTAGGAGAGCAAAGAGTTGGTGTAGGTATCTGGAATACCTATGGCATTGGCTAAATTTGGTCGTACATTTTAACTTCAAGAGATGTGACAAGGGCTTAAAAATCACTCCTAATGTCAGACTAAAGGACATTTCTGGTTCATATGATCTCAGTGTGGTAATACTGCTACTCTTTTTCTGTCATTACTTCTTCACTGGCTTTCTGTAGAGGTGCTTCACTGCAGAGCAAATCGTCAGACCAAGTTCCATTTAACCATTTAGAAACCTATTCATGAAGTCGTATAATACACGAATGAGGGAAACTCTTCCCTAGAATTCATCATACACTTATCTATCATTTTTAATCCAAACCCTTTCAAAAGCCCTTTATCACTGACTCACCTGCTGTGAGAGCTGAATCACTGTGTGAGAGGCAGACAGGATCACTCCTCAGTTCAGCTGTTTTGCCTCGACAGGCACACAACCCCTGCAGGCAAATATGTAAAAGGTGAGAGCATTCCTTCAAGGAGCCCTGGCAAGACTGGGATTGAAAGTTATTGTACTTGACTTTGGCAGGGTCAGAGCCAGCAATAACTCATATACAGAGGCCAGTGCACTTTACCAAGTGTAGGCAGAGAAGGCTCAAACACCCTTTATAAACCCTTTGAGAGATGATCATTCTGCTGAGACTTTTGCCAGCAACAGTGAAAGATGTTATTAATTACAGGACAGGATGTGCAGCATCTGTGCACTTGTTTAAATGGGAGTAGCTTGGAAATCAAACTTGCCTCCAAAAAAGCAGCCAGCTGATTATAACAGCCTTTGGCTACAGTCAGCTTCATCTATACCTGAGCTGCACACAAAAGAATTGCCAGCCTGGTACTGTTTGTGTCCCGTAATATCCAGCATATTTTTATCTCCAGGACAGCTACACATGAAGCTCACCCAGGCAGATATCGAGAACAAGGTCAAGGAGGGAAGGGAGGACAGTGAGCAGGCAGCTGCTTACTTAGGCCCAAGACACTCTTCCTATATCGATTAGGATTTAGATTTGGGGCTGTTGGTGCCATGCATTCAATTCAGTGCAGACCAGCAGCTTCTCTTCTTCAGAGATCTCAAGTTATTCCCCACCATCACACATTACACTGATAAAGCCTAAGCACAACCCCAAAGTGTTGGATGTATGCAGCACTTCAGTAGCAGTTCCTGAACTCTCTTCACAAGTGGGATTTTTATCTGTATTTTCTGCCACATAGCAGCACCTGCAATCACCCTTTTCAATATATTTTGCAGGGTCGTTGAGGGAATAACAACCATCATACTGTGCCCAAAGCAATAGCTGGGAACAGAGGAACAATACTTAGAAAACACCCAGTAAATATCACTGTTCAGCTCTGTCTCATTTCTGTGGATGCTTTTATTGTAAATACATAAGGCTTAGAAACTTTTCATTTTACCCATACATATTCTAGGTTCAGGTATACTAAAGAAATGCTGTTAATCATGGACACCTTGTATGTCTTCTGCACAACCAGGATAATGATCAGGACATACCTCTGATATGCTCCAAACTGGAGTTTCCGTCCCCTTTTTCCAGCAAGGAGCCAAAGGCAGCGCAGGAAGGAAATCTGTATTTAGAGGGATGGCAATACCACGCGCAAAGGCACGAGTAGTAGTGACCCCGTTCAGGTGCTTTGGTGTCTGTTGTTCTGCCTGGGCACAGTCCTCAAATACCCACTTCACAGCATAACAAGTGGATCCTGACAGGATTAGCAAAAGCTGAAAGTTTCAGCTTGGGAAGAGCTAGAACTGTTCCAAGGGAAGTTCTCTCCCTGTCTAAAAGCAGGGTTGCACAGAAAAAGGAGTCAAATCCCAGAAGAGTATTACTCCAGGTACTTCCACATCCTGTCAGAAGGACAGCACCCCCCTCCCTCTTCTCCCTTCAGCCCTCGTGTAGCTGAAAAGACAGGACAGGGAAGCTTTAACATGCTGTAGTCAGAAAACCCAAACACCAGAAGCTCAGGTACAAATCCCTTCAGTCCTGAAGTTTAAAATGCCAAATCTCTCAGTCACCAAGCTACCACTCTTGACAGAAATTTTTTTCATTTCCATAATCCAAAGAGAATAAGTCCCCCCCCCTTGAAATAAGTATCAGTGAAAGATCATCCAGTGATTAAAGTGATAGTAAACTACCTTTGTTAGAATAGAATACTTATTTATTATATGACACAGTTTAACAAATTTACTGGAAACTAGGAAAACAATAACCGGTGACAGCTTTGTACTTATCCCAGATTCTTGCTACTATAGGACAGTTGCTCCCACATGCTCAATAGGTGTAAAGAAGGGCTTTGAAGTTGGCATCAATGGAAAAGAAAGCAGCACATATTCCTCATCAGTTCCTCTGGAGGAACACTGACACACAAACAGCTCCATCCTGATTGTCTGACTGCAAGAAGCAGGCGAGGGCTGCACTAATGCTCACTCCAGATGAGAGGTCTCCATTAGACAACCTCTGATCAACCCCCAGAGCTGAAGGATCTCAAAGATTTTTTTTTTTCTTCATTCCAGGCATTTGATATTCACTATTCACGTTCTATATGCTATGCAAGGTAATTAACTACATCAAATCTCATTAGGACAAGGGCTGTATATATATACACACTGCAAGACTTCAAAACAGCTGTCCTTGGTTCATCATCTCCAGTTGCCTGGTTGTGTTCTGGAGCCTTTTTGGACTCGTGTTGAATAGAAGAGATGGTCCTGTGTGTCTCAGCATGTGGAGCAGTTCAGCTGCAGCCCCACCCTGACTGCAGCCAGGCTGGTCACTCAGAGCCCAGCTGTGGTCTCGGGTCACTTGGCTGAGTAGTCTGAGGGGAGCACTTTGTGTCTGCAGGAGGACTTTCTGGTCTCCTGCTGGGCAAGTGAAAGGCTTTTTTAAGTTCCAGGAGAGACTGAGCAGAGCCCACTGTCACCACATTCCACAAAGGCTGATGGATAATTAAATCATTCAGCACCTCAGAAGCCCACAGATTTATTTTTTAAATGAACATTTGCAATGCAGCCTTTGCTTTTCCATCTGTACTGCAGGAGAGCCTGGCAGAGCTGACTGAGCTCAGAGCACTTGCACTGTTTTCAAGTGACTGAGAGAACATGAAGCCCTGATACCCACGAATCCTAAAATTTAGTTAATTCCATCCCAAAGTTCAGTTTAGGAATCAGTCAGGCCTCCTGGATTTTCCTAGGCAGGGGGCACAGCAGGCTAGGAAACATGCCCAGACTGTGTTAGACAGCTCCAGCAAAGCCTCACATCTACTGAGAGGGGTAACTTATTTCTTCTGGGAATGAGTCAAATAAAATCCAGGTATTAATTAGGGTATCATACAATCTTTACAAATTCCTGCACTCCTTAAGAGTTTCCAAACTCCCGAATACATGGAAAGGGGAAACATGCAAGAAAGAATATACAGGCTTTAAGTACCTGCAGGTGTACTGGCTTTTTTTCCCCAGCAGTCCTTACTAAAGTCTGGCTTAAGTAACCTTACAGCTGGGTAATAATTCCAAGAGCTGCTGATCTTAGGGAAGGTTACAATAACAGACTATTTTCCTGTTACCAGCTTCAAGATTTGACCACCACTGGTGTGTCATCCCAAAGCAGAGCAGCAGCAGGGCTGGTGGCAGGGTTTGGGTGCTCAGTACTCACACGACAGCCGAGGACACAGCAGCCAGAATCCCAGCAAGCAGAAGGAAGAGGAGCACGCTCAGGATGGAGGTGATGACAATCATGGCTCCACTCCTTCGGCCAGGCCACGTGTCAATTTGCAAGGGAAGTTTAACTAGGAAAGCATGGAAAGAATGTTCCTGTGATCTCTTTCTGGCCACGAGCACCCCCACCAAGCAGGAGAAAAGCTGGTGATTTAGGAGAGGCAAAGTGATTCTATCTGTACCTGAAGACTTCGGTGATTTATGAGAAACAGGTTTAAGACTCGATGTCAGCATTTAAAGTTTATGAGCTCTGCTCAGCAAGTTTGTCATGAGGGCAAGTACCTCTATTCCTGAGAAATGTCAACAGCACCAAATACCGTGGCCTGCATCAAATCTGGAACTGCACATGCAAATCTTATCTTTATTAAAAGAATTGTTTTGAAGTACACAAAAGTAGAGAATTATTCCAGATTTAAGCCTGCTACCCCAATGTTGAAAGGCTGAAAAATAGCTAAAATTCTAGGAAAGGACTAGTTGTTGCTCCTAGAGCAGTAGTGTCCTAAGGCAAACACAGCTATTCAAAAGAGCTGAGCAAACCCAGACTTACCTCTTCTGGTTTTGATTGGATCAGACCAGAGAGTTTGGTCTTTCACAATACCTTCAGTGTTATCTATTAGCACATACTTAAACCTGTGGGGGAAAAGAGTGTTAAATGAGGTATTTGTAATCTCAGCCCCCTCACTAGCAAGTTTAAGACACTGGATTAGCTGGCCAGTCTTCAGGTTTCATCAAAGCATTAGATGGAGACAGTCAAAGGCAGCTGACTATTTCCAGAGATCTTATAAAGAACAGATAGAATTCATGATGGAAAATCATTCTGCGTTTTGTCGTGCATAGCCTGCACTTGGTTCCTGTGAGCCTTGGCAGATGACAGCTTCCCAACAACAGTTTTCCCCGGCTTGCTATTCCCTGTTGTGAAGAGCCTCGTTATTTAGGACAGCAAATGGTTCTGATTTCCATATGGAGGTCAAAGACTTTGTCCAACAACAGAGACCTTTGGCACTTTCCCTGCTAGAGGAGAGTATTGAAGAACCAGGCCAACATCAGATTTGGCAAAGAAGTTGCATTTCCATTCCACATTTTCAGAAATGAAGGGGGAAGACAATTTTTGCAAAACTAAGAGCCCATGGGCTTTTCAGAAGCATTTACAGCTCCATGTGACTGCCACTTTCCCTCTGGTTTTACATAACTGGCAACAGCAAAACAGGTGTTTTGGGTAAGGGCTGTCAGGGTGCTCCCATTCCCTGGATGGCCAGTTTGGCCAGGCAGCAAGGTCAGACAAGTCTGCAAGCTCCCTGGCCCTCACTGGGAAGTCTCCAGCAGTATTAGGGGCTTCCTGGAGCTGGAGGCCAAGGAGAACTTTGGCTGCCCAGAATCCCATCAAAACAAAGCAAGCAGAGCCAGATCCACATCTTCAATTCAGCAGAATCACCAAGTGCAAAATACGTGGTGAATAATCTCAACAATTTTCCAGTTAAAACCCTTTCCTACCAGCAGTTTCGAATCAGGTGCTGTCACTGAATTACATAGGAGCAGACCTAGCAGTTCACACAGGAATTTTCCTAGTGGCCTATGAATTTACCCTGGCAGAGCTCAGCCCTGCTGGGGCACCACAGAGTACCCTCTGCCAGGTGCTGGAGCAAAGCCAGCCACCTTCATAGCTACACGTGTGATAGAGCACTTCAGTTAGGGGCTTGTAATCCACATTTTGCCTTTCCTGAGGCGCTTACAGGCTCAGTGCTGCATCCCACTGTGTTTTAAGAGCAGAAATCACCTTCTAAGAAATGAGAACGATACCTGTAAGTTGTGTCTGGTGCGAGAGGGGGGTTACAGACATCGAGGAAGTTTGGGTCGTACAGACAAGTCCCGTCATCCCCGACTCTGAACAGGTATTGTTTCAGGACATCAGAAACTTTGCTGACATCTCCTGCGTCCACAAGTCTGGGAGGGGAGGCACAGCTGGGTACATGGAACGCAGCAGCCTTGTAGGGCCCGAGCTGCCCCCCATTTGTTTGCTGGAAGGTGCTGTCCAGGGGTTTGCTGCTGCCATCAGTCACCAGGGAGCTCCTGGCTGCAGGAGAGATGCTTTTTAGCAAGGCTGTTAAAACAAGTCCAGCCCTTTCCATTCACCCTCTGTTTGGTTGGCATCTTGCTCTTCTACCCCAAAACACTCCCAAGAGAAACCAAAAATTAGCTACCAGTCTGGCTGTGTCTATGATTCTATAATCCCACCCCTTCCTGCTTAGTTGTTGGTGAAGTTTTCATACTTATCCCTCAAACTGTGAAGGGTCTCGGAGCAATAATTTTCAGCAGCTACCCTCCCAGAATCCCTCTTTTCCAAGGAGAATGTGGTGGAGTAGGAAGGAAGGTGGCGAAGGCTGCTCTTCCCACACACCACATATGGCTCTAATAAGGATCCAGTAAATCCTGCCATTTCAGATTTGATCCTATAGCCAAGGCAGAGCTCCTGAGTCACAGCTCTTGTCTCCTGGCACACAAACCCTTCGGCCTCTGGTCACACAGCAGCTGGACCTCCCACAACTGCAGGGTGTAGGGGCTGCAGGAACACGTGTGTACCTCCATTTCTGGCCAGCCAGGCATTCCAATGCTTCCAGGGAGTCTGAAGGCCCTCCCAGCTTCCAGCCAAGTGTGACTCTGTGTCCAGCAGGCTTTGGAAGCTTAGTTGCAGTTCTCAACCCATCCCTGCTGCAAAGCCAAGGCACGAGTTCCAAGGGATGCTCCCAAGTTCTGTAACTGTGGGTTAATTTTATCTGGAGAGCCCCTCCAGCTGCTCAGTGCTGTCAGCAGGGCAGGAATGCCAGTTCTTCCCAAGCTGTGGTACAATGGGAATCATTTTTGCCTGGAAGCATTCTGCTGGAGCAGAGTTCCTGCAAGTGCTGGGTTGTGAGAAGTTTTTAGCTATGATCCAGTGCAAAACTGAGCCTGTTCTAAAAGGGATAAGCTTCTGGCACAGGTTAGAAATATAACTTAAGGGTCAGTGGTAATTTAGAGGAGTTCTGACACCTCTCTCTTCCATGGGAGCCAATAGCCAGGAAACAGATACTACCTAAGACATTCTCTTCCCTTAGGCTTGTTTCTCCACATTATCATCCTTCTCACAGCTACATCTCCCTGCTCTCCCAGTCTCCACTTCAGTAACTCTTAGCCTGGCTCTGTGAACGAAAGTTGATGCATAAACAGGATCCTTTCATAGGAAGTTTTTTGGGGTTTGCTATGTTTGTTTGCTTGTTTTTTTTTTTTTTTTTTTTTATCCTTAGTGGTTAGATCAACTCCAACAGCAACATTAGGAAGGACAGAGCCAAAAGCTACATATTACTTATTCAGAAACCCTTTTATCCTCAAGCTCTGTCATGTGCTGATGCATCTCCTTACCAGACCTGAACATAAGGTGTTAAGAAAATTAAGTTCTCTTAAATTTTTTTCTTCTCCCTGCTCCAGGAGGCATCCAAGGGTGAGCCAATGTCTTTCCCTGCAGACCAGAGACAAATCCAAGCAAAATTCCTCCCAGTCTGCCAAATAACAAGTTTGCATCTGCTTGCCTTAAAAGCAGCAGAAGACATTCCTGTGTGTGGAACCCATTTTGTACAGATTCACCCAACTGTGTAGGAAGATGGGGTGGTTGATGTCATTTCTAACACAGAACACGCTTGCAGGTGTATGTGCTTGTCAGACCCACATCATTCTATTGCAGTTGTAGCCTGGCTTAGACACACAAAGATGTGCCCTTCAGGCACAGGGCAGCTCTCAGAAGGCCACCCACTCACACCTGTCCGGGATGGGCTCTGTGGTTACAGCATCCACCCATCCCAGCTCTGCTCCTTCCACTGGTCCAAAGTGGCAACAACCAGCCGTGAAAGATTCAAGAGTTTTTTGCCTCTTGTCTGATTTCACCGCCGCCCCTTCAAGGTCCCTTTCCCTTCAGAAAAAGAAGCTGCAGCCAACATTCATGGGAGAAGGTGTGAAATAAGGAAGGCATTTATTCCTGCTAGCTCACAGAGTAGCTCCTGGTGGCATTCCAACAGTCTGCCAGAGCAGCAGGGATCAGGGGAAGCAGCTCCTGGTCACTGCCAAGCACTTATGAAATTCATTTTGTGAATGAAGCCACAGGCCAGGCATCTGTGAGCACAGGTCTAGCATGACTTGCCTTAATCTAAAAAATAAGTCAATCAGTTAGTCCTTGCGAGGGCTGGCAGATTTTTCTCCTTTCCCCATTCAGGCCCACCCTCATCCAGCTGTGAAGGATTCCATGCAAAGGTCAATCAGGTAGTTACCTTCCAGAGAGCCCTCGTGCCACTCACCTGACTCCTGCATTGCATACAGGTAGATGAAGTAAGATTTATTTGGGTGCAGCGAGCTGTCAAACACACAGAAGGGCTTTTCTAAAGCAACTGTAGTAAGAGTGGGATTGTTCATAGCGAGCTCAGGGGCTGCAATTTGAGGCTTCAGGCTTTGATCTAAAAAACAAAGTTACCAAAAAAGGATATTGGGAAAAAA